GCGCAGCAACGACCGCACAGCCACATACGCGCGTCCTCCGTTACTGTATGCAAATGATCGACTAGTACGTGTTTAAATAGTTGCAGCGCAGAGGGATTGTAGATTCAAGTGTCATTTTCTAGCTTATTAACTAATAAAAAATCTTCCAATTTAATAAATTTTCTTTCTTCTTTGGATTTCCGACGAAAATGTGTTTAAAAAACTCAATTGGCATCATATAAGGTTTATAGATAACGATTCCGAAAAGTCAGTATTTGTAACTGTATATTTTCAATTTCCACTATACAAAGTAGTTTGCTAGCTATTTCCAGTCAAATTGATTTCACTAAGCGTAAAAGTAATCGAGGTGGAATAAATAAATTTCCAAGAAAACTCCTTACACCTCCTTTTTGGGGCCTAAAATCTTGGATTTTCCTAAACTTTATCTGGTATGATGAAACACTATTCTAGAAAGTTGAACTCTAAAGATAGGGCCTTGCTCTATTACTTGAGTAAGTTGCGTTAAGAAAATGCATTATTGATATTATTTTTTTACATTTCACTCACATCGTGCAGTACCTACCGTATCCCACCAATCACATACCGACGGTAAACTTTTTGCCATAATCTACCTACCGTACCCGATCAGACTACAGCGATCTACTCAACTACGAAATACCGTAACCAGCAACGATCTTCTACCTTTCTTGGCCTACTTACTCTAATCGTGTAGTAGTATCGACCAGCGCCAAAGATCATACGTGCAGTACTTGCCGTAACTTACCGCTTGACACACCAAATACTTACAGTAATCCGCTCATACTGTGTTCTATAGAAGAGGCTTACACTGTATTTTATAGAAGAAGCTTACTGTGCTCAAATCTCCACATCGTAACTGCAACAAAGCCGAGTTGTGCGGTTACCACCGCATTATGCCAGCAGTGGTCAACTTTCAATAACCCACTTACCGAACTAACTTACTGCTTTGAATGTTTCCCATAATGAAGGCCTATCGTACAATGCCTATTGTAAACTTAATACAACTCCCTTCCCTTCAACCTCAACTTCCAGCGTGATCCCAAATTAGAATCTGAGTACCTGCCTTACTTTTACCCTTCAATCGTATAGCACGGTT